TCTTAAACACATGGGGCACTAAAATGAAATGACTCATGGTAGGTGAAGGTTACTGATATAAAGAGTTACCTCCCTTGGACTAAAACTATCACGTTACAATCTTGGTAGCTTCCTCCATTTTTTTGTCTGGCAAGTCTGTACATTCAAGTGTTGAAGTTGATCTGCTGGTTTTAATTTAACATCAACAAGATAACTACTTTGTTACCATCACTAAACATAACAACTGCACTTTTAGTTGCATCATATTTAAACCACCACTTGTTCACATACCAATGGCTTATTTGTAGCAGACACTGCAACCCATCTTCCCTGGGCAAGGGAGGTAATTGAAATATTCAAGTCCAGATTCCACCCCTGCTGAACGAGGCTGGAATTATGGAGTCATATTTTGGCTGGACTAATGAGTCTAAGCATAGTCCAATCAAAACCATGTAACGAAATCAACATTCAGTTCATAAACGACATGGCGACTGTCATGCAGATTTCGGTTGATTGCAGAATTTGCAGTGTATGTGTACCGTCAACTGGGCGTCGACAGATGTGTTCCAAAACTGTTCATGTTTTTAATCAAAGTGCTCGTGTGATTTGATGTACTTCGCAAAGTAAGACCCATTTTATTACAATAAATATCTTGACTATCGATCATTTTGTTTGAAGCAAATGCAAGCAAAATGAGAGTTGATATCTAATTTGTCAGTAGGACGGACGTTGACAGGCCATAACTCGTAATTGCCACTGGTGGTGCTACGATTGGGCCACGAAGTTCCAGCCTAGTTCAGCAAAGGTGGGAACTGGACTTTTATAGTCACTTAACTCCCTTGCCTCGGGAAGATGATTGCAACCAAGAAGCTGGTTCTATTTGTTTGGCAAGGTATTATCTGCAAGAGGTTCTAGGCATCTATGGAAATCCTAATCCATAGTTCAATTGATCAAGTTTCCATAACAAGTCATTTATGAATACAGTGAAAAAGGAAAATTACTCTATTTATATTTCCAAATAATAATAGGACACTTGCCACGCCTAACTAGAGGCTATGACCAGATTTGTTGTTTTTGCATGGGAGAATCCATGTCCATCTGGAGGTAAGACGCTGTAGTCTTGCTGTGCACTCAACCAGAAAGTTCATTGTTATACAACTGCCTGTCTGAAAAATGGGAGGTCACCAACCTCACATGATCCAAGTACAATCCTAAAGAAGTTAATGTTCTTGTAAAATAAAAGAAGATAATAAAACTTAGGTTAAGAGACTTATCTGTCAAAGGTCTAAACTAAAAACCTGTCTGAAAACCTGTACATTACATAAATGGTTTGTTATTAGATCATGTGATCATTAGAATACCAATGAGATACAACTTTATCTTGTAAGTTAGCTTCTCTAAACAATAGGGCAAGGACAGGTAGCTCGGGTACTCGGGTACTCGGGTAGGGTGGGTACTGAGTTGGACCCAGGTACCCACAGGACTTCCCGGACACGTGCTTAGTTAAGTGATATATTGTTTAATGACAAACATTATCTAGAACTCTATGGTTACACTATAAGTGACAAATGTTCACATTTCTTTCTGACTATGCACACATTCCTTCTGACTTTATATGTTGGAATAAAGATAAAACTTCAGTCAAGTACAGTGTATGCATGACCAGATCGTTTCATACGAGTATCTAAATACATTTTGCCAGGGCTACGGTGAAACTATTCCCAATCAGACATTTGGACCTATCTCTTGAGACCTACAGCGGGTACCTGGGTAGGGTTGGGTAATAGGGGGATGGGTACTCGGGTAGAAAATTTGGACTCGTCCCAGCCCTACCAGGCAACAACTCAATTGACTGCTGTTGTTTCGAGATCTGATTTGATGTTTCTCTTTAATGACTACTGATCATGAATGAACCATGTGCAATTGATCAAATTCAACATGAAATTTATTTATAGGGATTCTCTCTCTGTATATTTCAAAATAGATTGCTTGGATCTGTAAGTTTTATATTTCCTGTTTTACATGAATTACGTAATAATTCTAACTTTCTTTCAATGAGAATAGTGCATTGTTCAACTGAATAAATGACAAAATCAAGCTCATAAACAGGTTCAAATGCAAATACAGTGATAAATGGTACCACAAGAAATATGGAAAGTGGCTACACCAATACTTTCTTATGTCAAACTGTTGCAATAGAAGGGAGATAACTCTAGTGATACTCTTGGTGTGAGCCATTAGTAAACTAATAAATGCTGGAAGAAAGTCATAGGAAAAGAAAATATGATATCAAAGAGTTGATTAATTCAAATTCTTTCTTTCATGTAGGTTTTACTTCTTCAAAACACACAGATATAATAAAAAACAACAAAACTGCATTTATAGAAAATCACCTGCTGACAGTGAAATGGGTCCCAAATGAAGACAAATATTTGAATCTGTATCGAATGTGTTGTAACATATGAGACATGTATGCAATGTTCATTGAATGTGATGAACATTATTCAGCAAGATTATTATGCACAAACTTGCAATATAAAGCAAAAGGCTTTTTTTGATTGTTTTCAAATTGAGAAGGACACAATCTGCTAAAAATAAAAATACTACAATATCCATACAATCAAAGTCAAAACTTGTGAACCAATAATATAACAGATATTCCAGATTCTTCTGACTTCTTTATGTAATACTTATCTCAATTGGTTATGATATCTATTTTTTTGTTTTAGTAAATTTCACATTAATTCAAACATATTAATTTTAAGGTTTTACCAGAGGTAAAATATTGCCTCCTATACACATTCAAATCAAGAATGAACACACATAATTTGAATTTTGACTCCTGTGCAACACAAAAGATTATGGCTGTTTGAATAATTAAATGAATCAAAACTTTAGACTGCATGTTCCATATTATGGACATTTCTCGTCTGGTGAGAAATACACTTAAAGTTCAGGGTGTCAAATTTCTTCAATCTTACATTATAAACTCCTTTTATAAAAATATCACAGTGACTTGATTATGACTAAAGCTGTAATAACATCTGTACACGCTGTATTCTTTGCAAAATTTTGGGAAAATATCAGTAAAACTGAGTATTAATAGAAAAATAAGACGTGTTAACTCTGCCGAATCAGCAGTCTTACTCTGACAAGGGTAGTTGTTTGCTCCATTGAAAGCAGTCGCAAATTTAACATCAGAGCCTAAATATATGTAAACAAAACATTCGTTTCTAAACTTGAGTGATGTTGATGCGAAGATCTGTTCATCAAAGAGATGCCATATAGATCTGTTGAACCCTAGCTGCAGTAGTAAATAGAGAAACAGGTCTAGTCTGTTCCAAAATGACTCTGCCAATAGGTTGCATCCGCTGAAGCAGTTAAAGGTTGTTGAGCGTGACCCTTGTATTGTAAAAAAAAAACGATAAATTTTGTCGCTGCACTTTGCATTCCCTATCATAATGTCCATGCAGACGAGAAGATTTCAGACCACAACTTTCTGCATAGTCATGAGTGCATGCTGTTATATTCTACTGGAAACCATGCACCCAACTGCTGCATGTTGGTGATAATTCCTGTATTGTAATTGAAATGAATGCAGCCATGCACTGTTCTAGAATGAACACTGAAGAAGTGAGTGCTAATAATTATATGAATATAATATTTCTTAAGGAAGAGAATTTATGGATGTCAACTTCTTTATTAAAAGGAACACAGTGTGTCGGAGTATATACTTACTCCTTCAAGTGAATTAATGCTATGAAACAGAGACATTAGCTAAAGAATGCTGAAGGTGTCCCATAAACTGTGATAGACAAAGATTTGTTGTGTTACAAATGTGATCATTTGTGAGAATATTTTCCACTGCACACAATTTGTGATAATTAAGATAGATACAAAAATATAACATTTCCATAAATTCCAGTTGTGCTTTTGTTAATTGGTGATATGATGCAGTTATGTTAAAGTTAGCTGACACCACAATCAAAATATCTTAATAGTTGGGGTAAAGTTTAAAAGTTAAATCAGTAGCTGATCAATGAAATTAGAAAAGTTAATATAGGAACATGTCTTAAAACATAGCAAACAGTGCACTGAATGTAATTGAGACGTGAGTCAAATCATATTTGATCTAAGTTAAATAAACACATTACACACTGATGTTTATATTCTGGTGTTAAATACACTCAAAGCTTAGGGTGTCAGTGTTTGATTTTCTTCAATATAACATTGGAATCCTGATTAATAGTAAAAGACTTAAGGCGTCTGAACATATGCAATGATATGCCATCAATAAAATTGTTCGAAAGGGTGGTGAAACTTAGATCTATATGGACTCGAAAATAGACAGACCAAGGCAATATTCACTGATTACATACGACTGTTACAATATTTGTAAACTGTCAGTCAAGTCGAAAATTGTAAGCCATGAACTGAAATAAGCGGATTAAAAAATTGTTTTTTTCTTGTGAAGTTTAGGTGACAAGAACATGTGGCGACACTGAGCGAAAACATGGAGATTCGCGTTACTTCAACAACTTCAACAGGTGTCAAAAGTTTCGAAGTTTTGTTTCTTTATGATATGATCAGATAATCGCTTCACAATATTGAGTCTCGATCTTTTCTTTCTTGCGTTTACGGCGAAAACGTAGAACAACTTTGAAACAAATAATAAAAGAAATACTTACATAGTTACTGGCTATTTTCAAAGGAATGAACAGTTGCTAGTAAAGTGTGGCCATTAGTAAACAAATGTCTACATTCGTAGGGTGTTAAAACTGATAACATTGAAATGAAAAATAAAACTATCGTAAAACACGTCCTTGAAGAAATCCCTTTTTACATTGTATCAAAATTGCATAATGACATTTCACAATATTTCTTATTGTCTTAAGAATGATTAAATCGCATTTGAGTTACATAATTTTAGCATAGAACGTTGCATATATAATATGTTGTCGTGAATTAGTTTCAATTCAAGGTGAAGGTTATTTGCAAGTTCAGAGGTTATGTGAGTTCACGTTCCCACAATTCCCGCGAAAAGGTTCGAATCAGCTTAGCGCGCTTTCTGCAAGTGTACCACAGTCGCGAGCAGAGCGACACGAATCACAGGAGGCTTTCGTGTGTTTTGTTTTACGCGCTGTAACGATACAGGGCGACACTGGATTGACATTTTCCCTTTCTCTTGGATTACCTCTAAGCACTGACATTTTGTTGCCTCTGTTCAGTTGAGGATATGTTTTGAACACGATATTCACAAGTGACACCGAACTCATTCTGACAGCATCCTTGTCTGTTGTGGATAGTTTGGATTACCATTAATTTCAACGATGGAGAGCGACACACCAGAGCTCCGTCCCCATTACAGGAGTAAGTGTTTCTCTGATTTCAATCAGCTGACTGTTTACTGACAACCGCGTTTAACTACTGTTAATGAAATTGGCTAATTAGTTGTGTATTCAATGAGCCTTGTATATTTCAGCCTTGGACGACTCTCGTCTCACGGCCGATGAAATGGACGAGCAACGGAAACTCAATATCGCATACGAATATTTATGTCACTTGGAGGAAGCTAAAGTGTAAGTTATTTCAAATGTAATACTCGCCCAATACCACATGCCCGTTACAATTTAAAACATGACGAAAGAGATTTGGAAGCTGTAGTGGATGTCAACAACATACGAGCTTATGAACCTACCAACATTTGCACGCGTCATTGAACATGTCTCTTTCACGCTCTAGTAAGCTTACTAAGGCAATATCGGATTGTACCTTACTATGAACACGAATAGTCCAAGATGCTTACGTATTCCTTTGATAGGCAACAGGCTTGTTTAAGTACAGGGTGACTTTATTGCTGGAAGGATCAGTTTGAATGACAACAGGTGTCAGTCTCCTCTTTAATTACCATGACAAGTGTTACGTTGTTGATTACCATAACTTAAAAAGCTTGTTTTTTGTAAAACACTTTCGAAAGTGAGTTGTTCGGTGTCATCAAATCCCAATGAAAGACCTGACACATTGAAGTATTTGAACATGTTAACAATGTGTTTGTTTTCAACAATGTTGAAAGTTTGTAGCACTAGTTGAATGAAGTAGGTCACAGTGACCTCGCAGTCACATCCTTTATGACTCATGACAGCATATTCAAAAACTGCATTAATTATGTCCTTTCCAGTGAATTCATGTAGGAGAAAGTTTGATTTCATTTTAAAATATCTTGTTTGTCCTTTTTCAACTTGGATAAATAATCTCTTTCAGGATGATATTAAATATTATGTACCACAAGTAATTTACGTATCAAGCATGTTAAGGAAACTTTGTGATTTATTGATACTCAGGTTCATTAGACCTGTTTCATAGTCTTCACTGTTTTTTTCATACTGAGACCATTTAAAAAATACTATATGTACATAACTAAGATATACACACGGGGCACCCACATAATACATGAGTGTGTTCAACAGTGATGGACTGAGACCGAAAGGTCATTGAACCGCTTCCCTATCTGGCAAAGAATCATTTTGTCTACCTATCAATTCATGAAAATGTATAAAAGTGAAAATGCTCGTAAAATGGAATGAATTTAAAATGTAAATTTATATGCAGATGATTACAAATTACTATATTATGTTGGTGTATACTTGATAATATTATGACAATGAATGAATCATATAATTTGGATGCGAATCTGACAATGTAGCCTTTCCACCTGTCTTGTATTATGTGACACATGCCAATCTTGTCAACTATTTTAGAATTTACCCAGTTTCATCATTTCCTTTGTGAGAAACAAACAGCTTGCACCGACATCGTCATAGATGTGTCTGTGTTTTACAGGGGGGACATTTTTTGACATTTAAAGGAACATGAAGTGGGGGTGGGAGAGGATGGAGGTTTGTGTTGCAGACTTTTTTGTGTTTACAAAAGAAAATTCTTTCCTCAACAAGGGCTGTGTAAAGACATTTCAACCAGAATTATCTAGAAATGTCTCCATAGTATCATCTGGTGGCACACTGCCAGTATGAAGGTTTGATTTAGTTTTGACGAAAGCAATAAAAACACTTTATCAGATACAAATGGCTACTTTTCATACAGGGGATCTATTATTCTGAAGTGATTCCTTTCACAAGAAATATATTTCACGTGTCTAGTTGTGAAATGACCGTCTTTTAATGTACTATTATTCTCCCCAAATCTGTCCATTACCACAAACAACAGCCATCTAGATTACTTCTCTCTCAGGGCTGCTGCTATTGTGTGTCCTGGTATGTATGTATGCTGCCTGTTCATATTTCCAGCAGCAGTGACTTACATTTATCAGTGACCTACATCTGTAGAATTGAGTTTTCATAATGCTGCTACATCAAATACACATTTGGTTCAAGTACTGCTAGTAGAACTAAGATACAAGTTGGGATATCAGTTTTGCTTTTTCAGTTGTATTGTTTTATAAACATTTGTAGTGGAGGATGGTGTTCATATTCAAGCCACCGTAAAAAATATCCTTTTTCCTTTTCCGTCATGACAATCCAGTTATTTCAAGTTGGCTAGGTATGTAGAGATTATTTTTCATTTAGTCCATTAAATGATTACAATTGGACATAGGTATGTAGAGATTATTTTTCATTTAGTCCATTAAATGATTACAATTGGACATAGGTATGTAGAGATTATTTTTCATTTAGTCCATTAAATGATTACAATTGGACATAGGTATGTAGAGATTATTTTTCATTTAGTCCATTAAATGATTACAATTGGACATAGGTATGTAGAGATTATTTTTCATTTAGTCCATTAAATGATTACAATTGGACAGACAGACCTGCTCATTGTGTCCCTTGGCAGACATAAAACATAATTATTTCATTATGTTTTTTAAGAGTTGCAGAAAAAAATATTTTGCAGGGTAGGGGAAGTTACCTGTAACCAAAAGACCTTTATGTGGCCTCACTGCCTATTTTGTCAGATATTAGCCCTGACGATAGCCTGTGAGGTCTTGAGATTAGTCTTTCTTATCCTATACAGTTAAATCTGTTACTTGCTTTTATTTGCACAGTGTGTGGAGATGGCTTATGTCAAATATAGACTTGTATGTGCTGTGTGTGAGGATGACGACTATGGGGGTAACGTCAGTACACCTCCTCATCGTCACACAACTCCTCATTCCTTCACACACCTGGGGTTACTGACTGCAGGGGTTACCTGTGGAGGCAACACTGGACCAGGTGTGCTGGTGACGTCTTCAGAGACACATCTGTAAACTAATCACTGGTGGTTCCAATTAATAATTTCCTTGATGATTGATTGCTTGCAGTCTACAGCCATGGAATTGATCATGAAAGCTCTGATCGTATGTTTTCTAATTGTATTGGTTATTTTGAATGAATTTCTGGGGTATATCAAAATAGAATATAACAGATAAGACACTTGACAAGGTTTAACGACAATCAATCTTGAAGTTTTTGTTACCAATTTACTACTGCTGTCGATGCTTGTTGTGGCTCTTGAAGTTGGCTACGTACTCTTTTTAAGAAGAATTAGCTATTTTGAATGTTTTTGTTTTATTGCTTTTAGGAATTTATCTGTAATGACCAATCATGAAAATGTTATCCAATCTTTTAATTTTAGTGTCTTAAATATGTCTTGTGTGGTTGTCTTCCTTATCCATTTTGAAAGCCAAGCCAGTGTACATACCCTCTGCTGTCAAAACAGCTGACTAAAATGATGGTTCCGGGGTTGAAATATTGTCTTCAACAATGATGCTCATGCTATCAACCTCTAGGCTGTCTGATTCTTACAAACTGTCTTAATAGAGCTGTAATTTTGACGAGTTGTGCAAAACAATGTTGAATAGCTCAGTTCATCCATTTTGAGACACGTTTAAAAAGTTAATTCCATGAATTGGATAGAAAATGCAGTTTGAGCCAAATCAATTGTAGCTATTTTTTATGCATTCTGGAAGCTGAAAGTTAGACTTGTGAATCTTTCCAACACGTGTCAATATTGACCATGACACTAGTCACCGGTAATGACTTAGTTGAGATTTATTCCCTGTTGTATTGGCTCACACAGCCTTGACGACCACCTCCATCAGCGATTGCTGTGTCCAGAGCTAGACCAGACGGATTACCTGGTGTTTGAGGGATGTGACAGAATGAAGCTCCCCAAGCTGACTTCAGCGCAGTCATTCCCCCACCTCCACTTCCCAGCCTGTTGTGTTGATGACTTCAGACATCTGGCAGTTCTCTTCATCCTTGACTTCACTCATACATCCTGATTGATCTGCTTTTAGTGTAACGATTGACATATTTGGGGGACTGAAAATACCGATTGAACACGTTCCCTTCGTGTATTGTAATACATTGCTGCAGTGCTTGAAATGGAATTAATCTAGGGCCCATTAAGTCTTTAGTGTTGACAGAAGTGAGTGAGTGAGTTAAAATTTAACTTTTCATCGGCATTATTTCAACCATATAGTGACGAGAACAAGTTGCTATATATACAATTGAGTCATGAATACAAAGTTATATTTAAAACATATTTGGCATAACTATATTATTTATACAGTTTAAAACAAGGGCTATAGGCCACCAGTAACCAAAGCTGGGCCACCTCACTGGGGATCAGCTTCCTGCACGATATCCCAGCAGGATTTACGTCATTTAGCTACTGGTGGTTGTGCGCAATACCAGTCAATAGTAAAGAATGCTTGGCAATGAGTTGGCTTAAAACACTGGTTGATGATAGTTACATGGATTATGATAGGAATTATGTGTCACACAGGTGGACAATCAGTTTACATAACTTTAGCCTCCTCCTCGGAGGAGCATTCGATTATCTTTGTTGATATGTGTCTCACCAAAGAACAAGTGTATTTATGATACAGGACAATTTCTTTCAAGTAACTTGAGATGAGATGCCCCCTTTCACGGGTTGTTTGACCTTAGGGTTATGTAGAGGGCCTCTTACTCTCATGGTTAATTACTGGATCGTCTGGTCCAGACTCGTTTATTTACAGACCACTGTCATTAAGCTGAACTATTGCTGAGTGCGGCGTTAAACAACAAACGAATGGTGACTGGTGTTTGATGGTCCACTAGTGGCTCTTTAGTAGGTAGTTTCAGGTCATTCAAGGACAATGTAAGGAAAAACAAGCTATTTGCCCTCCAAACATTTCCCAAGCCAACAGGGCCATATATGAATAAATGTTCTTCCTGGTGCTTTGTTTACATCTGTGGAATGACAGATATGTGTATTATTGATGGTGTTGATGGGGGATTCTGGGACAGAATAGATCCAAGCATTTGCATCATTTTGCAGGAGCCAACATGAAGATCGTGTGCCTCGGCTGAGGTGCCATCATGCCCCAGTGGTGTGATCGTTGCTCATACTGTCAACCGCAGGATACCTTGATATAGCTTGAATAATACTGACTGGTGTAAAATAACATTCACTCACTAAATGGGGTAGAAATATTTGATATATATATATATATATGATCTCTGTGCCTTCTTTTTGTTAAAACCAAATCCAAAAATCGTTCATAACAAATTAACTCACGCCCGACCCTCCC